CATGTTCAATTTAGGACCATTTTACGATTACCTGGCTCGTACATGGAGATCGTTCGCAATGCGAATGGGACAAGATGGCAATTTTCATATCTTCAGCGGAGAATCTTTCGCGTAATATCGTCAACAGATCATTCGTGATCCAAACGAGATGAGAAGATAATTTTCATATTTGTAGCCGACTCCGTTCGCGTAAGATCATCAGCAGGATATCGTTTGCGATTCGAGAGAGACGAAAAGGCAATCTTCATATCTTCACCGGGAGATCGTTCGCGATGTACGCGAGAATAAAATGCACTTTTCATATTAGTTCAAGGGAACTTCGTTCGTGAAAGATTGTCAGCAGGAGATCATTATTTTAACCCCCCTCCCCCTTTGAATTTTATAAATAAAATATATTTTTCATTTTATCTTTAACCCCCCCTTCTCCCGCTCACGGCATATATGCAGCGGAGAATCGTTCGCGTAATATCGTCAGAGGGAGATCGTTCGCGATCCGAGCGAGACAAAAAGGCAATTTTCATTTCATCATCGGGAGATCGTTCGCGATGTTAGCAAGAATGAAATGCAATTTTCAAATTAGCTCAAGGAACATAGTTTGCAAAAGATCGTCAGCGGGAGATCATTATTCTAACCCTTCCCTTTGAATTTTATAAATAATATAAATTTTTCATTTTATCTTTAACCCCCCCTTCCCCGCTCACGGCATATCTTCGGCGGAGAATCGTTCGTGTAAGATGATCATCGCCAGATCGTTTGCGATGTAAGCAAGAATGAAATGCAATTTTTATGTTTTTTCAAGGGATTTAGGGAACTTCGTTCGCGGAAGATCGTCAGCGGGAGATCATTATTTAACCCCCCCCCCCCCCAAACACACACACACACACACTTTGATTTAAAAACATTTTCATTTTATCTTTAATCAGCCCCTCACCCGCTCACGATATATCTTCGGCGGAGAATCGTTCGCGTAATATCCTCAGGACTTTGTTCGCGTAAGATCATATCAGAGGGAGATCGTTCGCGATCCTAGCTTGACGTTAAGACATTTTTCACGTCGGGAGATTGTTCGCGATGTAAGCAATAATAAAATGCAGTTTTCATATTAGTTCAAGGAACTTAGTTTGCGAACGATCGACAGCGGGAGATCATTATTTAACCCCCCTCCCCCTTTGAATATTATAAATAATATATATTTTAAATTTTATCTTTAACTCCCCTTCCCCGCTCACGGCATACATGTATCTTCGGCGAAGAATCGTTTGCGTAATATCGGCAGGACTTTGTTCGCGTAAGATCGTCAGAGGGAGATCGTTCGCGATCCGAGCGGGACGAAAAGCCAATTTTCATATCATCATCGGGAGATCGTTCGCGATGTAAGCAATAATAAAATGCAGTTTTCATATTAGTTCAAGGAACTTAAATTGCGGAAGATCGTCAGCGGGATCAATTATTTTAACTCCCTGTAATTTTTTAGGAAGTTACAGATGATAATTTTAGAAGGCCTAACACTCAATCCTGGGAAAAGTCCTGCCTGCAACAAACGTTGCCAACTGCGTATTTTTTTAAAATCCAGGTTATGTGCAAGGAGGCAATTAGGCTTATCTTGATCCTTTTCCTCTATCAGGAGGTATGTTTCTTACCGGGTACAGTAAGTCAAATATAACTTAATCGAGATGCAGTAATAAATAGATTATTATTTACCACCAGAAAACGACTTAGGAAGTAGTAATAAATATCCCGCAATATATGAGGATCAAAGATAACAGCCGCTAAGGATAAAAGCCCAAAGGCCGGATTTTTGAAAATTTCGTCATACCCAGGAGTCGGGGAGAGGTAATTTTGAAAAATTAGTCGGATTTACACAATTAAAAATATTAATTAATTTTTAAGCGACGAAATTTTCAAGACTTTACCGTAGTGCTATCTATACCCCTATCACTTAACCTGAGAAGTTTCCAAACGTAAGGACAAAGAGAAAAGTGTGATGTATCGAGACAAAAGGGAGATCGGTAGATACGTCCAAAATTAGGGAGACTTCTGCCAAGATCGGAAGAGTTAATTGGTATGGGCCACAGACGGATCGCTCGAGAAATTCACCAAATCTACAAAAAAAAAATCCTTCAAATGTATTAAATAGCAGAGGCCCATCCCCCTGATTGTAAGAAGCAAACAAAACAACGAGACGGCAGGTCGACATTCAGCCTAGAGCAAGGTGCAATACTGCCAAGTTGAAAGCTGTTAATTAAGTCGGATTATAGCGCGCATCAATTTACTTCCCGTCGCGCTTGGCGAGGACGAACTCCCGTCTCCAAGGGTCGCCCGTACAATAATTTACATGTGCTCCTCCCCCTGTGCGCTTAGGCCCTGTATGAGTCCACGTCGCTATTGTTTGCTACCCGCACAGGCTTTTGTAGTGTATCAAAACAACCCATTGTCTCTCAGGGGGCGTGAGTACAGAGTTAATACGTACATGGAGTATACGCATACGGATTGTCGCGCGAATTATGAGCACAACCAGTATTTATCTCTTAAGTTAAGTTAAAGGATTATTTCAAAAAGCAAAAAAAAAAAAAAAAAAAAAAATACACTACTAACTTTGAATTAGAACAAATTCATCAACCATTGCTAAGTATGGGAGATGGTGTTTACCCCAGCAAAATCCATTATATGGCACTTTTACTGCCAAAATAATAATAAAAAAATATCCCTCTAAGTTTTCCTAGCCAGACTATCGCCATTTCTTTAATTGAACAAGGTTTAGAAGGTGCAAATTTTGTGATTCATTATTTATTCTTGTTTCTTAAACTGTACTATCCAATGAGTACTTGTTGTACCACCAGTGTAGGTTTATGCAAGAGCCAATTTGTAAATTTTACTGGACATATTGAAAGGTACTTCAAATATTGCACATATTCTGACCACAAGTTTTAGTTAATTGCTGTACATGCTAATTCTTAACCCTCAAAATTTTCTTCATTTTTTCCAGATGCAGTTCATGCTCCTATTTAGCCGTCAAGGCAAACTGAGGTTACAAAAATGGTACACTGCACAACCAGATAAATTGAAGAAAAAAATCACTAGGGAATTAGTAACAACAATTCTGGCCAGAAAACCCAAGATGTGCAGTTTTCTGGAGTGGAAAGATATGAAAATAGTATATAAAAGGTAGGCAAGTATCTGGAGTAAGCATCCAATGACTACTGGGCATGACATTTTGTCAATTTCTTCAAAGGATTTGACTGACTTGTGATTAAAGGGTTAAAACAGCATGCCTTCCTTATGCTTAAAACGCACAACACTTTCAAAAGTATCAAAATTGATTTTCTCTTTTGACATCATTTCACAAAAGACACTGGAAATTATGGTAAGTGTTTATTTACTTCTTATGTTTAAACCAGCCTGTTTTTCTGCCAGTTCAGTGTTTTTTTGTCCTGTTCTTTACTAGGTATGCCAGTCTGTATTTCTGCTGTGCCATTGAACACGATGACAATGAGTTATTGACACTGGAGATCATCCACAGATACGTGGAGTTGCTGGATAAGTATTTTGGAAGTGTAAGTATCCCAAACACACACACACACACACACACACACACACACACACACGTGATAATTACACAAGTTCACCATATCATTTTATATGAGAATATGGAGATGCAAAGCCACAATCTAATAGTTACCTCTTTAAAAATTATAACATTACCAAGTCTTCATAATCTGCTACAGTGACCTTTCTTTTTTATGTACAGACACAGATGTGTCTGTACATATAGCCATCATCTGCGTCTGTCGTCGCCGTCGGCGCCGTCGTCGCCGTGCACTTTTACCGATAACACGATAAGTGAAAAAAACCATTTTACCTTTTGACTTGNTCCTTTAATTTAAGGTTTTCATGTCTTCGTTTTATTTAAACTTAAGGCCTAAATTACATGGTGTTAAGGGTGATTGCACAGTCTGTTCAGTTGGCAAAGACACCATATGTGCAGTTTTATCTAAATTGAATTTAAATGAATAGTGCTAAAATAAGTACCGGTGTCACGTGAAGAAACCGTCGTCGTGAATAAACCGTTCTGACGGATTATTGACGCGGGGTTAGCAGTCTGTTGACTTACAGTTCGTAGCTGCACATGCATTTCCAACGTTTCCCCGTAGAGAAAGTTGTAGTATTATCAAACACACAATTTCTTTTTAATGAAAATGACTGTACTCTGAATTGAAAGAACATTGTAGCGTGAGTCTTAGATCTACCACGTTTTGCACACAGAGCAAAACAGTTCAGTCACGATCAAAAGCTCACTTCCAACATTCCCCCGTATACTGTAGTAATAAGATTATCAAATACATACTCTCTCATGACGAAAACCACTGAATTATGAATTGAAAGATGATAGGTCAGTGCAAACATAACGCCTACTTAGGACGACATCGTCATACCGGAAGTTACTTCTTTCAATCTACCCTCAATGCGCATGTGCAGAACGGTTTCGTCACGGCACGGGTCTATCACGCCACACCGGATTGTTTTTCTCGAGCTTGCATTAGAGTTGAATTGATTGTAGATATATCAGAAAAATTTTTCAAACTGACCAGAAAATTATAATACTTATATCATCTGAAAGGTAATGCAAAAACCGGATGAAATCATTTGGAATTTTTTAAATATTCCTACAAGCAACAAAGATATTGAATTTTTTTAACTGCAAAAATTCACCAAAAGCTAAAAACCTGTGAATACTGACCAGCAGTGATCACTCAGCTGTAGCTGCAGCTCAAATTGCTTGTGACCAAATAGGGCAATAACCTTGCGCGCGTTATACGTCACAGGTCTTGCGTAACTACCCACGTGCTACGATTTTTCCCTTGGGGGGGGCAGCAAGCGGACATTTTGTACAGGAGCAATGCAAAGATGGGTGAAAACGATACGTTGTTTTTAACCGAAGACGATGTCCCCGGGGTAAAACTGCCAACAAAACAACCAAAAGTAAAGGAGCATACCAACGTTGTTTTCAGACGATGTGGTTAGCCTGTCAGTGGCGAGTTGGGGAGAAAAGAGCAGCACTGACAGCAAGGTAGGGCCTACTGTGTACACGTGAACCGGCAAAGTTAGCCTAATGATAATTTCATGTTGCAAAAGCATAATTAAATCAGTTAGTTATTTTCCAAACGATATTATTTGAATAGCAGATACATAGATCAAACTAAAAACAATAAAAATTTTTGATGACATTGAAAATCAAAACCTGCGGTGCACGATAGGTTGAGGAGGACACTGCCACAGCAAGTAATGCATGAATTTTGTTACATAACACCATATGCTTGTGTTGTTGTTAACTCTGTGGTATTATTACTGCTCAAATTAATACCTGATATTATTTCTCAGGCTACCAAGTACAAATCAACTTATTTTGTGGCAATTGACCTCCATGTTCCATCATGTGTGCAGGCTGTTTATTATTATTATTATTATTATTATTATTTGTTCAAGCACATTTTGATAAAGTGGCTATGCTTTAACAAGAGAAAGTCAAAATTTATGCTGAAGTTTAAAAGATTAAATCATCAGTAGTATGTACAATTAAAGCTATTTGATTATGCATATTTGATTTTCAATTATCTTGATTATGATATGAGGTTTCTGCCTTTTTCTCTTGCCCTCAAATCAATATATAACAAGTAAATTGATAGTGCTTTATTACAATTTTGGCTTTATACTTTCAAATGTAAAAACTGTGTAGCTGTTGGTAAAGCTGTAGAGATTGATGCGAGCATAGATCAGGGGAAATGATATTAGAGAAACTAGGAGGACAAGACATAGATAATGTACTAGTAGATCCATCATCACAGCAAGGGTAGATGGTGTGATCTTGTCCCTGAAGCTGTGCCACAAGTTTTCAACTGGTTGAGTCCTTACTAAGACAAGCATGCTGCGGTGTGAATCGCAATATGTACATTCAGGTTATACGTGACAGATTTATGACAAAAGAGACCTTCACAATATACTTCAAAGGAGTTATTCTTCTTGTGTCTATGCCTCATCAAAAGTACACAGTTACAGTGACTAGAGCATTGTCTGCAAATAGTGAGGCATTGAAGGCTGCAAGGTGCCATTGTTTTTCAGTATTAAGAATGACAGTATTTGTTTTTTATTTATATATTTTTTTTTTTATTATTCATTTTTAATGGGAAGGAGGCTCACTTTGTTCTTTCTATGCCCATTCAGTTAAGGGTTGGTGGCAATATATGGTAAATCTGTCATGCCTGTATGTAGAATTTCTCTTGCTCAAATTTCTACATTTATTGAATGCATTATGAAGTTTCCTGACTGATTAATGAGGTTACTTGTAGAAATATCTTGCCTACACACATTTTGTGATATTTTTTCTACTTTATACATATGATTAATATTTTATTCACATTTCATCAGTGGTGTGTGAAAGGTATTTGCATTTTAGAACTGTAGATCTGTGTACCAGCAGGGTTATACTGCAGTAATATCTGTTAATGTTTCTAAAAATAAGCTTCATGTTTGATAATTAATTGGTTTGAAATAAATAAATAACCCAAATAAAATCAATTCATTTTATATTTCACATAATCTGTTTTTATTATTTCTTCTAAGCATTTAATCATAACAACTCCCATCATTATACTGTTATTGTGTAATAACATTGAAAGTTTCCAAGTTTTTGTTAACAGGTTGATGCTAACGTATTACAAATAAATATAAGCATCAAAGCATATTTCCTTACTCAAATGTAGCAAACGTACCACTGGCATAATTCCGGTAATGATACAGGTAAAGATGACAGCATTGATAACTGGGTTTACAGCGATGTTAGTGCAGCATGGTTGCATGGCTAGTGTCAGATTGTTATCTGATAAAGTTTGCTACTAGTACCTAGGAACAAAAGGTCTGGCACTTGACAATCAAGTTGATAAAATCACAAAACGCCTGTAGAAAATAGAGCATACTTGCCCAACATTCATTTGTTCAGATTCTTGACTAAGGGGTGCGTTACTGGTGTCAAGGGCCAAGACTTGAACTTATGGGTTTGGCATGTCACTGGACATTCCTCTCGATTTCTGCCCAAATCTAATAAAGCCTCAGTTGCTTAACTTTCGCCAAATTTCCAATATCTACAGGTCGTGTTGTTTAATGCTTGGGGTCTCTTCTCTGGCGGCGGTTAATTGGGGACACCTGTGCGGCCTGTCAACGCACCAAGACCCACTTATGCCAGTGCCACATTTTCCATTGCCGTAAATATCAAATTTGTGAATAGAATGAGGAATAATGACAGTTATGAAAAAATGTTTGGAAGTACCTGTCACCTTCGCCACAGTATCCATATGGGCTGTGCTGCCCCCCACCACAGGCGACACCTTGCGGAGCAAGCGTGCGTAATCCAGGGTGCAACTGAAAATAACCTTGTCGCACGACCTTATTAGGGCTGTGTGTTAATCTAATGACCTGGAAACTAAACCAAATTGGCGACCGCACAAGCACATGGCTGGGATGGCTTCCGTGCAGATCATGTACTATAAATATTGCGCATCAAATAAACTATACTTCGCATGGTTTAGTTTTCATGATTTTTCTACATAATATTGCAAATTTCATAAACTTTATTTGTTATAAATTTAAAAAAATTCCAACCAGTACTTCCCTCACATTTTTGAGCATTTTGTTGAGGCAAAACTTCAAACGCCCTGAACTGAAACTTCTCAAAGACTGCAACACGGGAAAATCATGTGACCGGATTTTACTCTTTGATTTACAGCTTATTTAGTTAATGGCTTGTATTAGTTTTTTTACGCAGTGCTAAAAGAGAGATTTAAAAAAGGGGTGCCATAGGCGAGCTGTCAGCAGGCCGATATCAGTTTTACACTTCACTGCCCCTGGGTAGTTACTACTGTAGCGCCCCTAGCGGATTGTGATATACCTAAATTGATTGGGATAACAACTCTTCATATGAGATTCAAAATTCCACAATAAATACAATGTTAACAACAAATATAAAAAGTTCCATTTTACCACCAAACAATGTTTATCACAATTATTATGAAGCCAGTGTTTACAATCAGACCATGTGGAACTTCATAGATGGCTACCATCTGTATTTATCTCTTATGTTAAAGGATTATTTCAAAAAGCACAAAAAAAAAAAAAAAAAAACTACTAATTTTGAATTAGAACGAATTCATCAACCATTGCTAAGTATGGGAGATTTGGTGTTTACCCCAGCAAAATCCATTATATGGCACTTTTACTGCCAAAATAATAATAAAAAAATATCCTTTTAAGTTTTCCTAGCCAGACTATCGCCATTTCTTTAATTGAACAAGGTTTAGAAGGTGCACATTTTGTGATTCATTATTTATTCTTGTGTCTTAAACTGCACTATCCAATGAGTACTTGTTGTACCACCAGTGTAGGTTTATGCAAGAGCCAATTTGTAAATTTTACTGGACATATTGAAAGGTACTTCAGATATTGCACATATTCTGACCACAAGTTTTAGTTAATTGCTGTACATGCTGATTCTTACCCCTCAAAATTTTCTTCATTTTTTCCAGATGCAGTTCATGCTCCTATTTAGCCGTCAAGGCAAACTAAGGTTACAAAAATGGTACACTGCACAACCAGATAAATTGAAGAAAAAAATCACTAGGGAATTAGTAACAACAATTCTGGCCAGAAAACCCAAGATGTGCAGTTTTCTGGAGTGGAAAGATATGAAAATAGTATATAAAAGGTAGGCAAGTGTCTGGAGTAAGCACCCAATGACTACTGGGCATGACATTTTGGCAATTTCTTCAAAGGATTTGACTGACTTGTGATTAAAGGGTTAAAACAGCTTGCCTTCCTTATGCTTAAAAAGTACAACACTTTCAAAAGTATCAAAATTGATTTTCTCTTTTGACATCATTTCACAAAAGACACTGGAAATTATGGTAAGTGTTTATTTACTTCTTATGTTTAAACCAGCCTGTTTTTCTGCCAGTTCAGTGTTTTTTGTCCTGTTCTTTACTAGGTATGCCAGTCTGTATTTCTGCTGTGCCATTGAACACGATGACAATGAGTTACTGACACTGGAGATCATCCACAGATATGTGGAGTTGCTGGATAAGTATTTTGGAAGTGTAAGTATCCCAAAACACACACACACACACACACACACACACACACACACACACACACGTGATAATTACACGAGTTCACCATATCATTTTATATGAGAATATGGAGATGCAAAGCCACAATCTAATAGTTACCTCTTTAAAAATTATAACATTACCAAGTCTTCAGAGTAATCTGCTACAGTAACCTTTCTTTTTTTCCCTTACAGGTCTGTGAGTTGGACATAATTTTTAATTTTGAAAAGGCCTACTTCATGTTAGATGAGCTGTTACTGGGAGGTGAGGTCCAGGAGACCAGTAAAAAGAACGTTTTGAAGGCAATAGCAGCACAAGACTTACTTCAGGAGGTGAGTACACAAGTGTAGAAGACACTGTCATCAGTATTTTTACTCCCCAGTAGGTGGGGCTGAAGTAAATAGAATTTGCTTAGTAAGGAGTAGAAAATGTGCCCATGATCAATGTGATTTCTAGCCAGGACCTCGGCTCACACTCGAGGTAAATATTTCTACCAAAGCCCAAAAGTAGTACTAATAGTCTGCAAGGAAATTTTTTTTTGCTTATTTATCAAAAAATTGGTATAGATTTTGTAACAAAAGCCATTCACAACAGAGCCCAGAGATATGGCTAGAACATAAGTTTGTCCAAGTTCACCTGATAATGGAACAAAGTTGGTGCTTGTTGTCAGTCCAGCATGGTTCCTGGAGCATGGTGTCTAGACTGAGGCATGCGTAGAGAGTAGTGCCTGCCTGCTGTGTTGTGTGTGCATGCTGTCTGCAGATTAACTTGCATAGAAGCCAGAATGATTTGGTATCCTTTTTTACAATTGATAGGTCATGGATTATTTATTTTGGAATCTGTGGGTGCTTTCTACAGCAGTTTTTCTTGTCATCAAAGTGTTATCTTGAAAACTCTCTATTTGTGAGAGATGAATAGTGCCAGAGGAGAAGACTGATTCATATTTTGGATATAGAGTTTTAGTTGAAGTGTTTACTTCAACAGAGGAATATCTGGTGTTCAAAGGAAACAATAACAATAGCCCCCAAGCAGGGATGTTCAGGGTGTTCCAAAGAACCATCCTTTTGCCAGGAAAAGGTCCTTTCTGGGTAAATTTTGATCTAGGTACATGAATGTTTCATGGTAAAAGGTCCACTTTTTTAAAAAGAGAACCCCTCCTTTGAAACTGCTGGCTGCTGGCCTGAACAAATTTCAACAAGGCAAACGGAAATCATTTTTGTAAATCATTTAAGATGACCCAAATGAACCCTTTGCTGCTACATGCATGTCATGATTTTTCTTTTAGTTACAAATGTGTTGTGAATGCTTTTGTGTTTATATAAGTGGCTGATCATGTGACTAATCAGTGATTAGTCATATGGCGTGTGTACATGTGCCTGTACATGTGCTCCTTGTAGAGTAGACCTGTTTTATGTGGAATGAATCTTTTCATTTGTGAATTGGATTGCTGTACTTCATATAAAGTGACTGTTCCTTGTTTGTTGCAAGCATTTAAAAAAACAACAGCTATGCATTGCTTTCCACATGACATATGGACATCCAGTGATGAGTGATGACACTGGGGATAGAATATCCCTGCTTAATGCCACAGCTTGAGGGCTCTGATTCTACTTCAGTCGAATTTCACCTCTGGTTTTGGTCTGACTGAGAAAGGTATGGTTTAGGTGTTTCGCCTAGCGTGACTGTTTGCTGTGCAATCTGGTGCTCAGATGTATCACACTTCTGGAAGGAAGGATTTTGATAAGTATGTGCCAAGGAGGCTGTTGAAATAAAATTCAGATTTGAGAAAGAATTCTTTTCTTCATTAATAGTTTCTGTATTGATCTAAACGTTCAAAAAATCCCTGTTTGTTAGTAGGTGAGGGAAATTAGATTTAAGATAAAAGACTTTCTTTGCCTTTTTGTGTGCTGTGTGTAAAACATCTCTTTTTGAGATTTAATATTTGTTTTAATTTTTATTTGAAGATGTATGTTTTGCTTTGGATGGGGATGTTGTTGTTTGTTCATTTCAAAATTGCTTAGAATGCATGGATTTTACAAAGTTATTTTCTGTTGAACAGGTGTTTGGGTTTGGAGCCATTATTGTGCATGGTTTTGGCCAAAGTGGGAAGTTCAACTGTCTTAAAAATGTGACATTGGCATCTAGCTCCAATCTAAACAACACATGGTTTTTGAAATTGTAACTGTATTTAAATGTATGGATAGATCGAGCAAACTATAGTGCAGGAATGAGCAAGTTTGTTTTAGGTTTTTTACATCTATGCATTTAAAATGGTTATAAATGATAACTGAATTTTTACTATTTGCATTTTAAACTGTTCACCAGGCTGAGCAAGCTATGTAGAGCAAGGCAACTCTAACAGTAGAAACCCAAGGTATTCTGTGCATGAGTTGTATCCATTTCCAGTTGAAAATGATCTCTCTTTCAAAATATTAACATTTCTGATAATTGATTTTTGAGGTTATGGCCATATTTTTGCCTGTTCTTGGTTTTAGTGTTACGGTTTTCAGCAGCCTGTTTGATTCTTTTGGATTCAATGTGGTGTATGGTTAACAGGGTTTGCATAGTTGTGACATGAGGATGTGTTCTCTGTATCAATATCCCCACCCCTAAACCACCCAGAATAAGGATGAATTACTAAGTAAAAAAAGAAAGAAATGAAGACTCTTAAAAATTGCATCGTAAGCCGCGTGCATGTGTGGATGTACATGCGTGTGTGTGTGTATGTGGGACACATCTATTTATTTAAGCCCATGCTATACAATTTAACATCACATGGATAATAAACATTAGTTTCTGGTTAAAACATTCTGTTCAAAGTGAGTTCAAGATTGCTTTGTTTGTCATCTGTGTGTACATGTGCCTTTGTTTTCAGTGTCTCTTTTTCTGGAATCAAAGGCAAACACAACTAATATTATTGCACTGCTTTATTTGGGTATGATTTCAAATGTGGCAAAGTTGCTGTCTTGTGTGCCTATACTAGTCATCTCTGAATAGAATACTACATGTTATGTTGCTTTCTTGTAGATTTGGTATGCAAGTGTCATATATGCCTGCTTTATTTTCTGTGGCTGTTTCAATCAACTGTGTGCATCTACACTATCCAAGAGTGTTTGTACCCATTTGACTGGCACTACGTAAGCAAAATATAATTTAAATGGTTCAGAATCAGCCTACCAATCTCTATAAAACTTTGACTCTGAAAACATGTGCTGTTTTATTGCTGTGCATAGTGTCAAGTGGCATATCTATGGGCCTGTTTATGTAGCCTTCTATCTTTAGTGTTTGTAAGAGATAGTACCTTGTCATTCCACTACAGGGGACATCACCCACTATCACAGGATTTGTTTCTTGTGACATATCTTGGGACCCACATAAAAATTTGTTTTTTTGATAAACATTGCACAAGAAGCTAGCATTTAGTTTTTTTTCATCAGTCCATTATGCCAATTGCTATCTGACTGTACATTTTTATCCTCAGACATTTTGTTAGTTTACTAGTGACATGACCATTGTTACAAGAGTGTGGTGGTAGGCCTGCACACTTCTCAGGTTGGGGAAAGAGACCTGTAAGAGGGAGAGTACAGACTGACCACAAACCCCACTCGGACTATCTTACATGTTGGTAATGCAGTCCAGTGAACAGTTAGCATCACGTCACTTCAAAATTTAAAACTGCCAGTTAAACTCTATATTGAGTGGCAAAATTTTCAGTTTAAATTCACATGTCCTGTGTATTTGTTTAATACTAAATAGTATTTGAAACAAGAAGTCATATATAGTAAACTAATCATTTTAGCACAAGGAGCACTTATATTATTTATATAAAAATGCAATAAGAAATTGTCAAGTAATGTTATAATAAAGATTAATCTTGTGTTTGTTTCAATTGCATTGGGACGGGGGGCTGGTTAACCTTAAATTATAGTCTTATATTTTGATTAGAACGCTTACAACTCCTACACTTTTAATGAATAAAAATCAGGATTATGTTTAAATGATTCAGAAATTGCCTTCCATTCCAATTTCTTGATTAACTGACCTTGCAGTGCATGATAGCTAAATGCAGTATATATACTTAACAAGTAAAACAGCATAACTTAAACCCTGTAATCAGTCTCTCTCTTTGGCATGCAGTGACCAGTAGTATTGCATACATGGTATACTATTGATTATAAGTATGTAGGCTTCAGTTGCATGGTGATTTAGTAGGAAACCCCTCATTTGCATTGGTAACACGTAATGTTCTTAGTGGTGGCCTGTGGAATCCATTATTAAGTGCAGTAATAGATAGCTGTGTGATAACAGCTACTTACTGATGTAGAGTGCACCTCTAGACCTTGGGGCATTAGCATGTGAGCATGTGGTGCCATCTGTTATTTTCCATGTTTACAGGTACTGCCATTTCCCCCCCAAATGTGTTTGTTCTAGTTGAAATAAATGTTAAGGGTTGTCAGTCATATATTCCAATGACTAAGTAATATATTTTTATTTAATTTGTCCATTTTCTGTCAGTTTTTATTCTCTGAATTTTATTTCTACTTTGTTTTTAACCCGCAGGATGAAGCAATTGAAACAGCTCTGAAAGAATATGGTCTTGCCTAAATCTCTCTACAACTAATTCGGAAGTCAATGGTTTGATTTTTTGTCTTCTTAGTGTTTATGTGTTCTATTTATAATCCAACTTTCATTCTTTAACCATGATGTGACTGAAATGGCACACAATACAAACATTTTAATAAAATATTCTATTAGCAAAAAATGGAAAAGATTTTTAAAAATATTGAAACATTTGACGTCATTATGTAAGAAAATTAATGGCCTTTGAAGGGAAAGTTGATGTCATATCTGACATTTCATGGTTGAAGACATTTTTTATGTTTTTGTTCCCTTCTTTATCTCTGTACTAATTTGGTTTCCAGTTCCACCCAAGAAGGTGGCACCTAAGTCCATATGCATGAGAATGGGTGTGCCCTGCATGCATGCATGGAGTCACTAGACACTGAGTCAGTAGACTGTGTGTAGAGCAGGAGCATGGCAGTACACAGGATGCAGATGAGGCACTCACCCACAGGTCTTATGTATTTTTTTTNGATTTGACTGGCACTACGTAAGCAAAATATAATTTAAATGGTTCAGAATCAGCCTACCAATCTCTATAAAACTTTCACTCTGAAAACATGTGCTGTTTTATTGCTGTGCATAGTGTCAAGTGGCATATCTATGGGCCTGTTTATGTAGCCTTCTATCTTTAGTGTTTGTAAGAGATAGTACCTTGTCATTCCACTACAGGGGACATCACCCACTTTCACAGGATTTGTTTCTTATGACA